CCGGTGAAGGACAAGAACCCCGGTGAAGGAAGTTCGGGTGTACCTACATCCAACAGGTTTGCTGTTCTCCCCATGGATGGGAATATCCAACCAGCTGTGACGGAAAAACGCAGCAAGAAGAGGAAGAAGAATCGGGCCCAGTCCGATGGCACAATTGGTCTCGAGGATGCCTCTGCGACAAACAAAGATTTCGGCGACGCTGCCGAAATGGAAAATGCTGCTGAAAGGTGCGCGGCAAGAGTGAAGCTACGTCCGCTGGTAGTGAAAAATGTCCATCTTAACGAGCTCATCGCGGATCTGGCGTCGCTGGGCGTCAAAGCCGAATTCAAGTTGGGCAGAGTCGGCACCAAGGTGGTGCTCCGTACGAAAGCGGAGTATGACTTGGTCATCGCCCACCTGACGACATTCCCGGTGAGAAACCATTCAAGGTCGTCATCAGGGGTCTACCGAATTTTGACCCGAAGTTGATTGAAGCGGAAATCAAGAACCGCTACAAGCTGGCCGTCTTCCGGATGACAAGAAGGGACGAGAACGTCAAGAAATATCCGGATTGCCTTTTCCTGGTGCATTTCCAGAAGGGAACGGTGAGGCTCAATGCGTTGAGACCATCCGCTCCATCAACTCCATCATTGTTCAATGGGAGCCATACCGTGGCGGCCGTCACGACGTCACCCAGTGTCAGCGTTGCCTGAATTTCGGGCACGGCACCCAAAACTGCTACATCAAGCCGCGCTGTGGCAACCCTAATAAAAATTGTATGGTTAATTTGCTTAACGACGTGTTCTGGGTATCATCCAAACCATTTGTGGAATAGTTCAATGATTTGGGTTATCGTTCGTTTATGGTTATTTTTTATTAGGGAAATGCGCCCAAAATCATGTCTCCTCCGAGTGCGTTGTCGACGAGTCGGACACGTGCAAATGCGCCAACTGTGGTGGAGCTCATCAAGGGTCCGATAAACAGTGCCCCAAACGCGAGGATTTCAAGCGGATCCGAAAGCAGGCGTCCACAAGAAATCAACCAGGACGAAAGAAGGACAATACGCCGGCATTCAGACTGGAGGATTTCCCGCCGCTTCCTGCTACGCAACACGGTCAAGTAAATCCGCGGGTGCAATCCGGCCCCCGTCAAGAAACGTCTGGTGCTTCTGCTGGACAAAGCTCCCCATCCCCCCCTGGATTCTGGAGACAACCACCAGCACAAAACGCCAATCCCGATCTCTTATCTGCGGATGAGCTGATGAAGATTTTCGTCGACATGACCGGTGCTCTTCGTCAGTGCCGCAGCAAGCCCGAACAGATCCAAGTGCTCGGTAAGTTTATTATTCAGTATGGTGTCTAAACCGATAACTGTCGTCACATGGAACGCATGCTCTGTAAGAGCAAAAAGACTCGAGCTTGCTGACTTCCTCCGCAAGCAAAGTATCGACGTGGGCCTCCTAACAGAGACCCATCTTAAATCCGGTGACAGTTTTTGGCTGCCTGATCACCACATTATCCGGCTTGATCGTATCGACTCCCCCGGTGGTGTTGCGATCATCATCAAGAAAGGAATCAAGTTCTGCACGCTGCCGCATATTCGCACTTCTATCATCGAGGCCCTTAGTGTGGAGGTGGAATCACCAACCGGAAACGCCCGGTTCGTCGCCGTATACTGCCCTCGTCAGTGTGCTGCCAGTAATGGATTGGGCATCCAATTCAAGCATGATCTGACCACCATCACTCGCACGAGCTCACGATTCGTCATTGGGGGCGATTTAAATGCCCGCCACGAAGCATGGCGGAACTATCAGCGAAATCAGAACGGACGTCTGCTCTTCGATCACTCGCAGCATGGGCTGTATACAGTGAAATTCCCTGATGAACCGACATTCATCTCTCCCGCGGGAAACCCTTCCACGTTGGACTTTTGCTATCGAACATTGGACTATCCAAACCGATGGCGATCAACGATCTCAGTTCCGACCATCAACCGGTGGTGGCTGAAGTCGGCACCCACGTGGCACCTGCTCAAAGCCTGCGCAAAGACTACCATCATGTCAACTGGGTGCAGTTTGGGCATGTGGTCGACAGAAACATCGATGAAAATCCGCCGCTTGACACCGTAGAGGACATCGACCGGGCACTGGAAGGACTCCACCAGGCCATATCCGTGGCTGACGAAACGTGTGTTCGACAAGTTCCTGTGAGGGGTAAGTTTGTTGACATTGATTACCACACCCAGTTACTGATTCGTTTGAGAAATGTGCGTAGACGCCAGTTTCAGAGGACTGGAGGTCTAGCGAGGAAACGTGAAATGGCCGATCTGAACAGGCAGATTGCTTCCAGAATGGACTCACTCCGAAATGAAAGTTTCGGGCGTGTTGTCCAGAATCTGGATGACCGCTCCCGTCCATTCTGGAAGGTAGCCAAGGTGCTGAAAACTCATCCCAAACCCGTTCCACCTCTTAGAGTCGAAAATGATGACAATCGGCTCATAACCCCACAAGAGAAAGCAAATGCGATTGGCAATCATATTGCTGCATCGCATTTGCTTGGCTCAACTATCCAAAGTCCGCTCGAAAACCAGGTGACGCAATGCGTCCAAAATGTAGATTACTCCCCTTGTGCCGTGCCTCCGGAGGATAGAATTACGGTAGAACAGATTTGCTCAGCGCTGAAATATTCAAAGAATATGAAGGCCCCCGGTTTTGACGGCGTATTTAACCTAATCATAAAAAGGCTTAGCATGAAAGTCTATGCAGTTTTAACTGCCATCTTCAACAGATGCATGGAGCTGCACTACTTTCCAAGCATCTGGAAGATAGCAAAAATAATACCAATCCGCAAACCCGGAAAGGATCCAACATTGCCTTCAAGCTACAGACCAATCAGCCTCCTCTCAGCGCTGAGCAAATTGTTCGAGAAACTAATTCTCAATAGATTGCTCAACAATATTCTCCTGCCGGAACAGTTTGGGTTCAGGAAGGGGCACTCCACCACTGATCAGTTAGTACGGGTGATGAACAACATTCGAAGTAACAAGGCTGTATCCAAGTCCACAGCCATGGCCTTGCTAGACGTCGAAAAGGCGTTTGACAAGGTCTGGCATGACGGACTTATATACAAGCTTTGTAACTACAATATTCCGTTGCATTTGGTCAAAATTACCCGTAACTACCTTCAGCAAAGGTCGTTCAAGGTATCGTTGAATGGTTGTCTCTCCGACACATTTTCCATCCCGGCAGGCATTCCGCAAGGCAGTTTGTTGGGCCTCTTGCTCTACAGCTTGTATACTTCTGACATTCCTCCCCTCGGAGACGGTTGCGTGTTCTTCCTGTTCGCAGATGATACCGCGATATCAGTCAAGGGCAGAATGCCTCGTGAAATTACAAACAAACTACAACGATGCCTTGACACCTTTGCTGACTATGCAAAAACTTGGAAATTTCTAATCAATGCCTCCAAAACCCAAACTATCATGTTCCTGCAAAGGCAATCACCCAAACTGATACCGACACCTTCTTGCACAGTAGTCATGGATGGCACAAGGGTTGAGTGGTCTGCTGAAGTTACGTACCTTGGAATGGTATTCGATGAGAAGCTCCTGTTCCGCTCGCATATAGAAAAGACGTTAGTTAAGTGTTCAAGCTTAGTTAGGTGTTTGTATCCGCTGATTTCTCGCAGATCCCGCCTCTCTAGGGTTAACAAACTGGCTGTCTACAATCAAATCATAGCACCTGCAATTTTCTACGCTGCACCGGTGTGGGAATCAAGTGCTCAAACTCACAGGAACAAAGTCCAGGTGGCACAAAACAGAGTGCTTAGGATGATCCTCGATCGTCCTTTCGACACTAGAATAACTAATTTACACGAAGAGGCAGGCATTGCCAAGATAGATTCCAGAATAAACGAAATTAAGTATATAAAATAATGGGTATTTATTGGATGATTCAAGCCATTATGTTAATTATCAGAGTGTAAAACCTATACATTTGACGTATATAGGTGAAAAAAGGAAAAACGCTATTTTAGAGGTTAGTTTTCCTAATTTCCCAATATCTCGCTTAATGTGAGTCATAGAGTTTCGATGTCTTCGACAACATTTCTCAACACTTCAAATTACACAACGTGCCGTAAAAACCATTTGGCTAGGATGCTCCGTTCAAAAGATAGACTCGAGCTCCACCTATGTGGCGTAAAAATGAACTAATATGAAACTTTCAAAAGATGGCGCTTTTAATATTGAGCAACTTATTAGAACATTGTATTGCTGTAGAAAGCAAACCAACGGCGCTAGAGGTTTTGGCCACGCGTATGGCTTCGCTGCCCCACTGTGCAACGGAGTGTCCTGCCTATAGCAGTGGATTTTTTTTTACCCAGGCTTTTACGCCTTTCCTTGCTCTTAGCAACAGAGTGTCCTGTTTTAAGCAGTGGATCTTATGGCCATGTTCAGAAAAACCTTTTTTCTCCTTTTTAATTTGGTTTCTTACCAGTGTTCCGATGATTTTCCGATTAATCCTCGTCGCCAGGTGTGGTACCTTGCTATATTCGGATTCCAATTCATGCACACAGTAAAAGTACTTGTTATCTGTTCGGTAGCACAGTATATTCTGAATTTATTAATTATCATGTTATCGAGGCCTGCTTAGATATTATTTTCAACAGAGTCAAATGTAATTGTTTCAAGAATAGTGCTTATCAAGGGCGTAGCCAGGTTTCAAGCTAGGGAGCGGCGAAAAAAAAATTACTATGGAAAAATTGGCCGAATGCCGTTTCCCCTAACCTTTGTGTTGCTGAGTTTAGGCGGAACAGTCGCCCCCCTCTGGCTACGCCTATGGTACTTATTGGGTAAAAACTACTTAAAACGGGGTTTATATGTCAGCAAATTTTGTCGTTAAAAATTATTCTTTTATTGTATTTTATTTTATGTTTAATGCTTGCGTTCAGCATTGACAAACAAACATAGAACTTTTAATTATTCTTATGATTAATCTTACAGGTTAAAAAAGAAAAGAAAAT